CTGTATGTGTATCTTTATGGATATGTATATAGAAAAATTATAAAAGGACAAAAATGACCAAAATATTCGGATACTTCAAAAAAGATCTCTGTAGGGAAAGAAGTATATTCAATAGGATTCAATATTGTCTGACTCTGAGAATGCAAATCCAAACTCCATTGCAGCACCACTACATGCACAGTAGAATGACAAAAATTAAAAAGATGACTCCTACTAACTTTTGGAGCGGCTAGACCTGTAGTGGGGGTGTAAGACGATACAAGCATTTTCAAAGACAGTTTAGCATTTTCTTACAACAGTAAGCATTAAACATATACCTACCTTACAACTCAGCCACTATTACTATTGTGTATTATAATTGGTAGTAATAATGAATATTACTAGTCATAACTCCCAAGTATTTACCTAAGAAAAACAAAAGCATATGTAAACCTAACATCTTTACAAAACGACTCAAAGCAGCTTTATTGCAATAGTCTAAATGGGTATCAGTAGGTAAACGGATAAAGATTGTCATATTCATACAACAGAATAATGCTAAATAAAAAGGAATGAAGTATTGTTATAGCGCCAATTCTGTTGAATGGAATATACCATACCAAAAAAAAAAGCATATGTGCTGTATGGTTCCACTTATTAAAAATTCAGAGAAATGCAAACTAAACTGACAGAACATTGATTTTTGCTGGAGAAAGAAAGGAGGTGGAGAGTTTGGGAGACAGGGATCACACAAGGAAACTCTGAAAGTGATGGATCTGTGTAGTGTCTTATTGCAATGACAGTTTCATGAGGGTGAACGTGTCAGAATCTATTAAATTTACACTGATAAACACATGAGATGCTGCTACATGTGTGTCACAATAGATCAAATTAAAAAGCTTACTGTTCTTTGTTGGTGGGGCTTTGGGGCAAATGGAACTCTATCTAGTGCATTTCAAACAGGGCACAGTTTCTTATAACATGAAACATGTACGTACGTTATTACAATGCAGCTCTTGCACTCCTCAGTATTTACGTAAAAGGAGTTAGAACCAAACCTTGTTCATATGTGTTTGTAGCTGCTTTATTCATTGTCTCAAATCTGAAAATGAATATTCATCATGGGTGATTGGATAAATAAATTGGGTCACATGCTCACAGGATGTATCGCTGACCCTTGAACATCATGGTCTGAGATGTGTGGGTCCAGATTTTTTTTCACTAAATATGTACCACAGTATTATTACACGATCCACATTTGTTTGGCTGAATCCAAGGACGTTAACTAACAGATACAGAAGGCAAACTATAAGTTATATAAGAGGGTTTTCAACTACACGGAGGGCCGGCACCCCAACCCCCATGCTGTTCAAGGATCAGCTGTGTACTATTTAGCAATAAATGTGAACAGACTGCTGATGCCTGCAACAACACTGATGTGTGCTGTGACTTACAGGGTGTCAAAGAATCCAGCCAAAAATGTCCATAAATGATTCCATTTCTAGTAAATTTAACAGCAGGCAGAACAAAGTCTCAGTGATGGAAAGTATATCAAGATTGACTGCAAAGGAGATTTGTAAGAACTTTTTAAGGGATGGAAATTTTACTGGTGGTTACACACATTTGTCAAAATTAATCAAGTTGCATACCTAATAATCGACACTTTTGATTGCATGTAAATTATATCTTAATACAGCTGATTCAAACAACATCAACATACCAGGTTTCTAAGAAGCCAAATCTTAAAACACTGACATGACATTTTATATGATACAATATGAATTCCTGCAAAAATTGTTATCTCTTATTTTTTGCAAGACTGAAATTCAGTCAGATCTACAATTAAGGTTATGATCTACTTTCCAGAATTTGAAAAATGGTGCCCTTAAAAAGGAAAGCACTGGTCTATGTAAGCATTGCTAAAAGTCCAGCCAGATTCAATTCATGTGAACACAAACTTACTGGATTTAATACTCTTAAAAAGATAAAATTCAATGAAGCCAGTATAAAGATCAATTATTTTTATGTATACAACAGTTTTGGTAGTATTTGTCACTTTGCCGTATTTGAGTTAAACTTCTTCCGCATAACAGTGCGAGTCACCCCTGATTATTGTTAGAACATGTGTCACTTCAATGAAGAGCCCCTTCAGTCGAAACGCTTTATGTATTATACATGGTGTGTATATAGGCGTTCTAACAAAGTTAGAAATTCAGAGCATTTTTCTTATATCTAAGTGACCTGTACTCAGATTTCAACACCCTTCACTCAAGGTGATGTCGCAGGAAGCAGGCTTGTCAGCCTGCTGGGCATACTGTGCCCAGGACTGTGTGGGTCGCCCTGTCCTGGAGGCTCGCCCCCCGCACTGGTTCTAGGTCTATACCGTAAAATTCAGACTGCCCTACATAAAAATCAAAAATAGACTGTTACTTTCCTGTTCTTTTAAAATCTTGTTTATTTTCCTCATAAGACAAAACTATATGTATTCAATTTTAAGTGTCTTCTATTATTCAAAAGACAGCAGGTTCTGTGAAAGCATACTTTGCCCAGTTTCTCCCACGGCTTTATATCTAGAGCCTGCGTGCAAGCACTCATGGAATGTTACCTGGACTGATCCAAACTTGGACGTAGAAATGAATGGGTGCATCTGAGGTCTGTCAGTTCTGAGCAACCTTACTGATGAAGTTTGTTTCGCAACCTGGGTGTTAGCCCATAAGAGTGCGAAATCAGGATTTCTCAGCTGCAGCAAAAAATAAAATCCAAGCCATTTAGAAGTAAAATTATACATCTTTACTAAAGCATAGCATCCTGTCTACTTTCAAGAAGATTTAAAGGACTTAGAAACTTAAAAAAACTTATTTTTAGTTCTACTGACTGGACACATTGATTATCTCTATTCATGTATCCTGATCTGTCACCCAATGAAACACTTACTCCCATGACCTCCGTCCTTCACATCTTTACCAAGCGACTGTAACCACGTTCAGTCTTACCAAATGCAGGTACTGAAAAACAGTAAGAGTCGTTTTCTTTTCACTTGAGTCCAACTAAAATCCAAGTTAAGCTTAAATTCAAGAGTATGTGGCGTCTCTAGTTTTTATACCCAACCTCTTCACAGTCCAAAATGGTTCACATTTAGCCCCAGTGGAAGGGACTGAGCACAGGAAGGACTGTGGCAACTTGCAAAGGAATCCGTTTGCTGCTTCTGTGACACGGGCTTGACTCATTCATCACCTCTGGGTCTCCTGCCTGAGTTTACCGCAGGAGAAATGACGCTCACGGTGTTTCCACGGCAGACAAGTTAGCACGTTGGAAAACTGTTTGCTGCCATTTGCTTCCCCCACTACTGTCAGACAGCCTAGCAAAGCTTTTTTTTTTTTTTTAATAGGAAACAATAAGCTCAAATCGAGCGAACTAGATTTGGATTCATTCAAGTCGTAGCTTTGTTATTTGTTAGATCAGACCTTCAGGAAGTAATCCACTTAGGTGACTCGTACAGAGTGTTAAGGATTTAAGTAGAGAAATCCTTGCTAACATACTTGCTGGGCAAGGCACTGGGAAGACAAGGAAGACACTGGGGTCCCAGCAGAAGAGCAGCTCTACCAGAGACCATTAAAGTTCTCTAGTGAAGGTCAGCCACAAAATCCCCGCTGATTGGATTCCTGTTAGCAATCAGATAATTCTGTAAAGTCACCATATTAATAACACAGTTGGAATTAAAATGGTTGATCTGTTTTCACCATATTTATCCACTAAATTTTCCTCCAGATGTTTCACCTATTTTGATACTCTGTAAGTGTATTTTTAAGAAGGTCTACATTCCTTTTCAGGAATATGTGAAAATGGGAACAAATCCTGTATGAGTTTTATTGAGTAAAATATTACCACATTGATTTAATGCCATCCACAATATTTTTTTTCCCTCGAGGAAGAAACCTTTGATTTGACTAATAAGAACTAATTTATAAAAGTAATGCCCTTCTTTCCTGAGGTTTTCTCCACGTTATGTGGACAGCAGTATAGGGAGTATCTTGAAAGCTTGAAATTCAAAGTTTAGTGACTAATGTACAGATTTCAGTATCTTTTATCCATTAGTTTAAAATTTGAAGATTTGGGAAATATTTCCATTGAAATTATAATATAATTGTAACTCTTATAGAGATTACTTTCCTCTAATAGTCATTTTAGGATTTATCACCATAAAACAATTTCTAAATTTTCCTAATTTTCATGCAGCATTTAAAAAATTATTTTTACAGTAAACAAAGTTGATATATTATCTTTTAAATAAATACAGTGGTAATAAGGCAAACAACTGAATATTCTTTCCCATAAACACTGGAAAAAAAGGTTATTCTGAAATTACTTCACCAGATGCCAACCTATGAGTAATTGCTATAACAAGGGAAGTTTGAGATTTTGTGTGACCTGTAGTCATCTGTAGTAAAATGTGTTTATCATTTTTTTCTACAATGACCAAATCATTTAATAAAACTTAAATGGGTGGAATCAATCAAAAATGACATTTCTGTGATAATAAGAATATAAACATTCATACTGCAGTTTTTCTTCCTTTTTCCCTCCATTTCTTGTCCTGCTTTTAATACTCACATACAGAAGCCTAAACTCACCCCAAGAGAGGTTGCTTGTATTTTAGAATAACACAGACTGTCAGGTGTTTAATTTGACATGGTATTTAGTTAGTTTTATCACAAATTGAATTGAATTGAATTGAATTGAAAGTTAAGGTGCTTAACATAAAAGCTGAAAGTAAATGTGAATAATGTTGAAAATGGAGATGACTTTTTACTATAAGTTCAATATTTCATTAAAGAAGTCATACATATAATAATATTGTGATATAAAAATAACAATGGCTTTTATGATCTGCTTTAATGATCATATGATAAGTAACAAAAGTTTCATAATGTAATGAGTAACTTTTGAAACATAATCCTTGGTATTTTTACTGTTCATAATACTTCCTTTTTTTTTTTTAAAACCTGTGACGTGTCTCAAAGTTCAGAGTGATACTGTTTCTTTAGCAACAGGAAAAGTCTTTTGTTCAAGTAGATTGTGCTTTTTCACAACACTCAGAACGACAAAAAGCCCTCACATCAATCCTGAGGAATGAGAAAAATGGCATTTGCAGCAACATGGATGGACCTGGAGATTGTCATTCTAAGTGAAGTAAGACAAACAGAAAGATAAATACCATGTGATATCACTTATATGTGGAATCTAAAAAAAGGAAAACTTATTTACAAAACAGAAACAGACTCATAGACATAGAAAACAAACTTTTGGTTATGGAGTGGGAAAGGTAGTGAGAAGGGATAAATTGGGAGTTTGAGATTTGCAACAAGTTTATACTGTATAGCGCAGTAACTTATGGTGAAAAAGAATATGAAAACAAATATATGTATGTTCATATATGACTGAAGCATTGTGCTGTACACCAGAAATTGACACAACATTGTAAACTGACTACTTAAATAAAAAAAATATATAGATACAAAAAAACAAATAGGTATGGCCATATATATAAATGCATCAAACTACAAATATTACATAAATATATCCCCTTTTCCTGCATTCTTTTGAAACGCTACTTTTATGAATGTAATCATGTGTTTTCTACGCTTTGTTTCATTGATTTATTAATATAAGCCTGAAAGAATAGCATACCATTTAATTCCTGCGGTAACTTTGTTTAGTCACTGTTCTTTTACTAAACTTCAGTGAAACTTAATTTTGATGTTGATCTGTGACTATTTTTGGTGTGAATATTATCCAAGCCTCTCAAAATGCATTAAGGATATTTTTAAATTCTCTGTACTGTGTAAGGATTTATATAATAAGGAAATTATTTGAAAAATTTTTTAGTAATTCTTTCTTGATACTATTATTTGAAGAATGCCAAATCCCTTTGTCAACAACATTAGAAATGTGTAATGTTCAAGGATGTGTAAGAAGGGGGTTGAGCTGAAAAGGGCTTTGGAACCAGTGCCCAGACTCACACTATGCGGCGCCCCCTGGTGTTCAGTTTCAGAGCTGTTGGGTGCACACTAAAGCTAGAGGCATATTGAGTACTATAGACCAAGATACTTTTCTCTGATATGGGGGAGGGGGGACACGACAAGGTTGCTTACCATTAATTAACAGTAACATTGTTCTCTTTGAGTAGATGTAAAAACACAGGAGGAAAACAAACAGGTATTAAGACTGGTAAGAAGGAAATGACAGTAGCAAAGTGATTCTGTGCTCATTTTACAATTCTATAAATAGAAAGCATAAGGCAGTCTAGCCAGTGCTGCAAAGGAATGTAAGAAATTGTGTATATTGATATAAGAGAGACTTATACTACGAATTATTAGACAGTAAATACGTATGATAATGACCAATGCCTCCATAGTGACACAAATTTAAAGAGCTAGACACAAAGTAATCAGAAGTTCTTCCTATGTCTCTTTTCTGTATGTCTGTATCTATATAATTGTTGATCAAAACAATTGTATAAACTGCATTGGTAACCACTAAGCTTGGACAGAAAAATCATGTATTACAAATGTATCAATTCTTCCTAAATAATATGATCTCCATAAAAATACTAACAGTTCTATCAACTATATAGACTTTAAATTTAATACGACAAAATGAAATGAAAACTGGGCAGAGATATTCTAAAATTGAGTAATACTGAGGTGGCTAGTACTCTTGGATGCTAAGGCATATATTGTAGAGCCACTGTATTTAAGGTATCATATTAATTGCACACATGTGGCTCAATAAAGACCAGAAATAGAAAAATGTTTTACCATATGATAAAAGTCACATTCAAAGTAAGTGGATACTGGAGCTGATAAAAGAATTTGGCAAGTTAACAATCAGAAATCAGTTGCATTTCTTTACAGTGACGATGAAATATCGGAAAAGGAAAGGAAAGAAAAAAAAATCCCTCTTAAAATTGCACCCAAAAAAGTAAAATATGTAGGAATAAATCTGACCAAGGAAGTGAAAGACTTATATGTGGAGAATTATAAAACCTTCACTAAGGAACTTAAAGATGACTTAAAGAAATGGCAAGATACCCCATACAGTTGGAAGAATTAATATTGATAAAATGGCCATTCAACCCAAAGTAATCCATTGCTTTAATGGGATCCATATCAAATTATCCATGACATTTTTCATATAACTAGAACAAATAATCCTAAAATTTACATGGAATCACAGAAGACCTAGAATTGCCAAAGCAATACTGAGGAAAAACAACAAAGCTGGAGGCACAACCCTCCCAGACTTCAGATACTACAAACTTACAGTAATCACAGCGGCATGGGACAGGTACAGAAACAGACGCATGGTCAAATGGGACAGAACAGAGAGCCCAGAAAGAAACCCACAGACTTTTGGTCAATTAACCTTTGACAAAAGAGGCAAGACTATACAATGGAGTAAAGACAGTCTTTTCAGCAAATGGTGTTGGAAAAACCAGACGGCTGCACATAAATCAATGAAGTTAGAATACTCCCTCACACCATACACAGAAATAAACTCAAAATGGCTTAAAGACTTACACATAAGACAAGACACTATAAACCCCTCAGAAGAAGACAGAGTCAAAACAGTCTGACAAATCTTAGCAATGTTCTCTTAGGGCAGTTTACCCAGGCAATAGAAATAAAAGCAAAAATACACAAATGGACCTAATTAAGCTTATAAGGTCTTGCACAGCAAAGGAAACCACGAACTGAACAAAAAGACAACCTATGAATGGGAGACAGTATTTGCAAAAGGTCAGAGTGACAAGGGCTTAATTTCTGTAAACAGCTCATACAACTGAGTAAGAAAACCAAGCAACCCAGTCCAGAAATGGGCGGAAGACCTAAACAAGCAATTCTCCAATGAAGACATACAGATGGCCAACAGGCACATGAAGAAATGCTCAAGATGACTAATTATCGAGAAATGCAAATCAAAGCAATAAACTGAGGTATCACTTCACACCAGTCAGAAAAAAAGTCCGCAAACGGTAAATGCCGGAGAGGCTGTGGGGGAAAGGAAGCCCCCTGCGCTGCTGGTGGGAGTGCAGGTCGGTGCAGCTGTTACGGAAAACAGCACGGAAATTCCTCAAAAAGCTAAAAAACAGACTTAGCAATCCCACTCCTGGGCATATATCCACAGGGAACTTTAATTAAAAGAAAGAATACCGTATGATATCACTCATATGTGAAATCTTAAAAAAAGGGACAAGTGACCTTATTTACAATATAGAAACAGACTCACAGACAGAAAACAAACTTGTGGTTACCAGTGGGAAGCAGGCGGGAAGAGATAAATTGAGAGTTTGGGATTTGCAGGTACTAATATATATGAAATAGATAAACAACAGGTTCATACTGTGTAGCACAGGGAATTATATTCAATATTGTGTAGTAACCTATAATGAAAGAGAATATGAAATAAATGAAATGAGAATATATAATGAAAGAATATGAAAAATATATGCATGTATATGTATAACTGAACTATTATGCTGTACACCAGAAACTGAGACAAATAGATTATTCATACATGACACTAGGACTGCTGGACAGTCATCTAAACAAAACCCAATTCCTTCCCTCTCTCATTATTTATAACAATTTAACTGCACATTAATCACCAATTACAGATTTAAACATTAAAGATGCACCGCAGAATTATTTGAAGAAATCGTGGGATATGAAGCAACTATAATCCTGAAATCAGCATTTCACAAAAGAAAATCTTGAAATCATATTTCTGCTCTACATAAAGGTACTATCTGAATGAAAAATGCTAATTAAAAATCCTGAGAGTATGAAAAATTCACACTGCGGAAACATTTGCAACCTACCTGCAGGAATAGGGCATGTTTCCTTAATACCAGGTGCTATGAATGCAAGACAAATAGGGGTTTAACTGACAAATCATTATGAAAAATTAAATACTGAAATATAAATACAGATACCATTTACACAAATATTCTCACTGTAAATAAATGCAAATTAAAATCATGAAATACATACTATATTCACTACAAATGAGGAAAGATGAATGTGGTAGCACATGGCTCACAGTGTGGGCAAGGAACCCTCCCATGCACTTGGTCCAGGAAATTAGCTAATAGATGTCAGCATTATCACTTGTAAACAGTGAATTGCTAAAGCACAGAATGAGAATTATTTTACCTATAACTCTGAGCCTATGGGTACATAGGTAAAAATAATTATGTATAATGCTATTCATTGGAATATGTTTGTAGTAACAAAATCTACAAACCAATTTAGTCCATCAACACAAGACTATAATATGCCCTTGCAACGAAGAAATGTGAAACCAAAGAAAACCCCAGACAAAAATGGTCACTGATGAGAACCCCAACCCAGAGTACAAACGCTACGTGGAAAGAGTGTGTAGAACAGCGCCTGTGGTGTGCAGCATCGGGGATGTGAGACGAGAGGGAAAAACCAGTGGGAAAAACCAGGGACAGTCACTGGATCGATACACAAGCAGCACGTAATGATTGCTGCTTCTGTGGCAGCAGCTGCGGAGGTCTGGGTCCCGAAGGGCAGAGGGTCACTGAAGGATTTACTTTCATTTCTGTTTATACACATACACATATATGCACATATGTATGTAGAAACATCTCTATATATATACAGATATATAAGTATATACCTATATGCCTTCACTTTTTGAATTTTATTTTACCTGTGCATACAGTATCTATTCAATAAATTTCTAATAATTTAAAATACATTTACAACTCGTGAACTTGGTTAACCTATCTGAAACCAAAACTTGGTCTATATCTAAAGAAAGTGTTGTTACAGTCTACTTAAATTTTAAAAGAATTGTGTTTTGAAAACACCAACTCAAAACACATATTAGTAACAAAATATCATTTATATAATAACTGAGTACTTTCTGTAAGTTTCAGGAAATCAAAGTACTACACAGTAAGAATATGCCCTGGGCTCAAAAATAAATAATCAGTTATACCAACTTGGAAGATGCTTTGAACTGTTGAGTATATTGCGATGGGCTTAAGATGTTTAGAAAGGGAGACAGGAAATTTCTGTTCTCCCTAATAAATAATTTCTGGCCATTTTATTATTTTTGTAAATGACTTCTGACTTCCAAGAATATCATTT